AAGTGTCGCTTGGCTACAGAATGGTACATCAATAGCGATCTTAGCGAATTCTTATACGCTATCCTATACATGGATTTCATCGCAAATTTATTTGTACAACAGTTTTACTAATAGTCCTTCTTCTATCCTTCTTAATACTGAACAAACCCTTTCATCTAACATGGATTCTATCTTTCCTAATAGTCAACAAACCCTTTCATCCAACATGGATTCTATCTTTTTAAGACTTCTTTCTACACCTACCGCCCTAGCTCTTATGGATAGTGCCGGTTATATTTTCGTTATTCTTCCTAGTCTACCTGGCTTTTATTCTTCCACCACAGGCTCTGATTCGGCAACATCACCTGGTGTATCAGTCACCAGGCCTTGTATTTCTGGGACGTATAATAATCAGACTGGATCCGTAGGTCCTTGTAAGTTGTGTTCCAGAGGGCTGAAAAATTCTGGCAACGATAGTGTTTCATGTGCTATTTGTGATGCGAGTTCATTTTGCCCTTTGGGTTCAACAGATGATGTCAGCTATACAGCTCTTGTGTCGGTCGTTCAAGCATTGTCCTATCCAACATCACCAGAAAGTGTCATTTTTGATGATATTTTGATTCAGAATATGTTTCGTCTTGGAACAAGTGGTCACTGTGTTGTTGTATCCCCGTTATTTTGGGCTCTAATCGTCACTGGTTTAGCGATCATGATTTTACTTCTTATGGCTGGATTGAAACTTTGTATTAAGCATCCACATGGGAAAAAGGCAAGAAAATATTTGAAACATGTGTTTAAACAAACAGATTTTGTTGGCGAGGGAGAATTGTGGGTTGGTGGACTAGCTTCGTTTGCCATTGTTGTATTGGTCAGTTTTGCCTATTCATTCAGTAATTCATATTTGAATCAGTATCCAATTGAAAATGTGGGAAATAGTAATTTTGCTTGTGACAGAAGTATTCGAAATGCAAAATTTGATACTAGTCTACAATCGTTAGGTATTCCAGCAACAGAGAACGAACAGACAATGTTTGACCTGCTGAATGAACAAACGTTTAAATGTCATGCTTTAAGGACGTCCATAGGTTGAACATATAGTCAGTCAAGTGCTAAACAATTTTTGAAAAGAAACCGTATATCTATGGATAAGCCATAGCTGTTGTTTAAAAATAATGAGGTTTGGAAAAAATGGCTAGAGATGTGAGAATATAATAGACATTTTTCGGTGTAATTCCATAAAGTTTCAACCACTTTATACACGATCTCTTTCGCAAACTCCGAGACCTAATCTAGGGTGCAGAGCCAATTATAAAAGAAAGCCGAAAAGGCTGAAATATTGCTTTCGATCTGATGAATGATGCAGATTTAATATAAATTAATAGCTGATAGTTATTAGTAAAAGTTTATACAGTTTTTCGTATTAGCAGTCTGCTACAAATATCCGGAGAGATAGAGCAAATAGTTCTCTTCAAATCGAGACATCTTCCAGCTCTGTACAAAATCATTATAACTCTCTGAAACATATTTAGCATTTTCGTCTTGACTGGAATTGCCGAGCCTTTTATGCCTGAAAAACCTAAGAAGCCCGATCGATGATGATGATGATGATAAGGACATGACTAATACAAAAATATCACTACTCAGGCCTCCTCCGTTACCGAGATAAGAGACATTGTTTCCTAAAAAATTCACTCTTATTTATTGCTCAAAAGGTAAAATTCGAAATTGATTACTTAGGTAGTTGTAACTTTATACTTAAATTTTCTGGCAGCTGTAATTTTATAAAAACGTCTTCCATGGATGGAGAGAGTGCGCAAATTTTGGGCTTTTTCTATTTTTAACAATGTCAGACTTTGATTTTTTCACGTTTTCTACCAGTGAAGACTAAGCTCGCACCTAGCAACATGTCTCTATACTGTACTTATGGTTATTTTATTCATAAAGGTATGATTATAAGTAGCCGACAGAAAAAGTAGTTACTTATAGTTATTTTAAAAAATAATGTCTCCTATCTCGGTAACGAAGAAGGCCTGAGCAGAGATATTTTTGTATTAGTCATGTCCTTATGCCTATAAGTAACTTGCAAAAAACATTTTGCTTCAATTCGTCTGCAAAAATACTCCAGCCAAATCTGTTTCGACTCCATATGACACTGACTTCCCGTTCTCAACCACAATTAATAATGTTTGCCTTATCCACCACATCTTGGTATTTTCCAAAACAGGAGTCCCATTGCTGTCCGAATCCTGCTTAGTCTGAAATCCTGCTCACGTTCAGAAGGATTTCACATGCTCTCTTTTAAAATAGGTCTCAGAGTTTGCGAAAGAAGTATTGTATAAAGTGGTTGAAGCTCGATGGAATTATTCTACGTCCTTAAAGTATGATTCCATACATTGAATGTTGATTTTGTGAATACCGTCTTTATTTGTCCTACAGTCACTGCACAATATTTGGTTGGTACCGTCTACTCGATGCTCAGAATCTCAAATTGTTCAAATAATAATTCGGTACTAAGT